TAACAAAGAAAAAATACTTTAGACCAGGTTTTTGATGGTCAATGGCGCAGTCTATTTCAGTTGCCTCAAAATAGCAACGCGCCAGCAATGCGCCTGAACACACCTCGTTTTCAGACCAGCACGCCCATGGGCGCCCAAATAGGCGCAAATGCATTTGCTATTTAACGTGGCGCAGGACGTGAAAATGATAACTGCGTCGGGCTGAAACTAGCAAAAAACACTTGCGTCGCGCCTGGCGTCGCAATGCGCCGGGTGTATAGCTGTGCTGTGATTTCGGCTATACTTGCATGTAAAATTAGTGAAGCAACATAATAGGCTATCTGTTTTCACTGAAAGCGCTGCTTCTCTTCGCCACTCGTGTGTGCGCTGGGAAAGAGAGACCTCGCGCTCGTGCGGCAGTAAATAAGGTTTGGGCAAACCCTAAAGATTTGTCGCTAGGCGCTTTTCTGAGAAAAAAAAAGTTGCTAAAGGGTTCTGAAAAGTCACAAAATCTAGCGGCAAAGTTGCTAAGTTGGCAACACTGTGCAGCTTGTCATATTTCATTTTATTATACATTCAGTGAAGATAATCAGAGTATATGTGCACATATTACCTAAACCACATATTAACATGTTTTATATTTTTAAAATGAAAACGAAAAGGGTTGTGTTTTATATTTTAAAGAAAACGAAAAGGCAGTGGTGTTGATATTTCGTTTTATTGTAATGCGTGTAGCCTACGCCTTGCATGAACCACATTTTTGTGGCTATGAATATTTTAAATGAAACAGAAAAGAGACAATGCTGTTTGATTTAATATTTCGTTTCACTGTAATGTATGTACGTTCCCTGAACTACATTTTTGCGGCTATTAATATGTTTAAAAGAAAACGAAAAGAGGCAGTGGTGTTTGATATCTCATTTCGTCGTATTGTAAATACATTGAAGATAACCGGAGTAAGGCGAGGCGAACCGGAGTGAGGCTAGGATTTTTTTAATGGGGTGGCACAGGTGGGGCCCATGGGAAAAGTCATGTGCCCCAACACAAGTGGGATGCCATAAAAATGGCACTGCACAAGTGCCTGGACAACGCATCTCTCTTTTTTTATAAATAAAAACCATTGAACGGACAATAATTGTTCTCAACTTCTTTTATTGTCCAAACAGACTGTGTGTGTGTGTGCAGGGGCGCCGTAACGGGGGGAAGGTTAAGACCCCTGATCGTGGGGGGCTCGAGTCAATATGCTGTTCAGGGGGCCCAGAACCATAGACTTTAAAAAAAAACATGGACGTAGTGTCCGTGACGTCACCCGTAGGTTTCTAAAGAGTGTTTTTGAAGCTCAAAGTGGGCGGAGCCAGCCGTCGCCATCTTGGCAGCGCGTCACCACGCGAAACTCCCGGATAATCGAAAATGGGTAAAGAGGCGGGAGCTGTTGGCTGAAACCCCGCCCACCTAGCTCGACGGTGGTGACAGCAACGGCAATCCACCTAAAAAAATGCACCCCCCTCAGTTGTCATGAAGGGCAAAATCAGCTATACAGACCAAAATCATTTTTGAACCAGCCTGTAAACGTTTTTTTTTCTGCTGTAAAGTTGGGCATTTTAACATGGGGAGTCTATGGGATTGACTCCTTTTGCAGCCAGCCTCTAGCGGCCAGTTGACGAATTACAGTTTAATGTTGGCTTCACGAGAAAGAGCGGGAGGTTGCCGCTTGCCCAGAACACATATCGGCACCCCTGTGTGTGTGTGTGTGTGTGTGTGTGTGTATCTTCTGCAGATAGATGGCTGCTGGTGTAGTCCTCACTGGTCCTCTCTGGCTGGCTCTGACCTGTGCTGCCAGGTTCAGGGCTGCTAATTTGCTGGCCAACCTGGCCCTGCCTGGTGGATTGGCTCTGACCTGCACTGCACTACATCTACCTGTCTTCAGTGTGTGGGTGTGTGTGTGTGTGTGTGTGTGTGTGTGTGTGTGTGTGTGTGTGTGTGTGTCTAGTGAACTTTTTGTAAAAATTGCTCATGTTCTAACTTTCACCTGTTGCTGCAGATAGATGGCTGCTGGTGTAGTCCTCACTGGCCCTCTCTGGCTGGCTCTGACCTGTGCTGCCAGGTTCAGGGCTGCTAATTTGCTGGCCAACCTGGCCCTGCCTGGTGGATTGGCTCTGACCTGCACTGCACTACATCTACCTGTCTTCAGTTTCTTGTTGAAGAAACCTTGAATGTATTCTGCTGTGCCTGACTTTGTCCCCTTTTCATTTCGTTTCCACAAAATTCTGTCTAAAAATAAACAAACCTCTAACTTAATCATCAATATTACACAAATAGTATATTTAATAGCTATATTCTCATCTTAAAGACAAAATCATTTAAATGTGAAGCTTCTTGGACATTGCAAACGAAAATAAAAAATATAAGACTACCACGCAAAAACGTGTGTTTATTCAATACAAACAGGTGTTTACTATTCTACATCTTAAAATTCCAAGTGTCAGAACGCTAACATTATTAAAACCCCACATTTTAGCGTTTGCCACGTTACTGCAGACTATTTGGGAAAGTGATTGTGCCCTTTAATCTTTGAAACAACAGCAAGAAAGGTAACAAAGATTTCTACCGGTCGTTATGGAAGTAGATGAATATGTTTTTTTTTTCAGTTTGAGTTTGAGGGAAGTTAAATATTACTATATGAGCACAACATTGGTGCGTGTAACAGCGATCGGCGTAAATGGTAAAACGAGGACATCCTGTTTTCCTTTTGCACGTGTAACAAAGAATAAAATAACTTATTGTGATTTTTTTTTACGTTGCATCCTATTAAAAATTTTAGAGTGTAGATTTGAGTATGCAGAAATATGTGGAGTGTTTTAGGCATTGTGATTTTGGGATTTTTGTGACTATTACCTGTTATGTTTTAACTCAGCTGAATTTTGGATTGATGACAAGGGCAGAGAAAAATTCATAGACCTAAGTGGGATTGAAAGACAAGTAAAATAAATAATAAATAGGCAGGCAAGCAGTTTTGAAAAAGGAAGTGTACTAGACTAAATAGAGAAGCATGCTAAATATCAAAAATATTATATGACTGCTCTATAATAGAAGTAATCATACTAAATATTTTGTCACTGTATTGTATACTTACATCTGTTTTATTGTATATTAGTAATCTACTGTAGAAGCTCAGTGATGTCACAGGACTGATATGTGATGGAGCATAAGGGTTGAAGCCAGTCAGCAGTGCTGAAGGGACCATGGTGAAATTGAAAACATAACAAGGTATGTTTCTATCAAGCCAGCAATAAGGTACCATGCTAAATGTGTATTCTACTGCCATATTATATAAGAAGCCATACTAAACAGAATATGCAATGTATATTAGAAAAATAATAATTGTAATGAATTATATTACTGATGTTGCATGTCAAGAGTGCTGCAGGAAGAGGATCAATGATGGTACAGGTCAGGAGTGGTGATGACCAATGATGTTACAGGTGGAGGGTCAGATATGTTGGCTGGGTGCTGGTAGATGGAGCAGCAGTGATGTTGATGTTGGGTGCTTGTAGATAGAGGGTTAGTGTTGGTTGGGTGCTGGTAGGTGGAGCAGCAGTGATGTTAATTAAACAAGCATGAAAAACATTGTTTAAAAAGGTATGTGGTCTTTGTGGAAAAGTGCAAATACTCTTAAGTTTACCTCACAAATGTTTTTGTTGTTGTAACTTTGTTTTATTTTTATATTGCTCCTGCTGACTTGAATTTTTTTTCCTCCTCTCTGTGTCAGCAGGGAAGCCATACATTCACACTCCTTTCTCAGAACGATTGGAGCATCCCCATGCAGCACAGCAAACCATGGTGGAGACTATACAAGGACATCGTGGAGAAAAGGACACAGACAACAATTCATTTTATTATAAATTTATTTATAAATGCATTGCTATAAGTATGTGCATAGCAAAAGTCAAAACACACAATCAGATTTTTTAATTGAATATATTTATCTTTTGAATCTCTAATTATTTATTTGTGTGTGTGTGTGTATATATATATATATATACACACAGATGTTTTTAATTGAATATTAATTTTTAAATTATGTATTTGTGTGTATAATGTTTTTTAATTTAATATAAATTTTTACATGAACATATGTATTTGTGTCTCTGTGTGTGTATGTGTATGTATGTATGTATATATATATATATATATATATATATATATTCCATTTAAAAAAAATGTAT